ATATTAACGTGCAAAATGTGATTATAGGGTCATGACACTACAGCAACTGGTCTGTGTTTCACTCTAGCATTATTAGCTGAGCATAAGGATATTCAGGTATTTATCAAATGTGTGATACGTCATCTTAAAAAAAAAAATAATTCCTAGTTATTTATTAAAGACGTGTCCATTTAAAATTTCTTAATCGTCTGTTTAAGTGTGCACGTGTTTGTATTGTATTAAATTTGTTTTTCCGCATCAATAGATAGGTAGAAAATCTGTTCGCATGCGCATATACATATGCACGCTCGTGCATGTACATATCCACACGACATGCTCGCGCATACATATCAACTCTTCTTTTAAAAAGTTTTAAATGTATTTCGTATACGTATATTTCAAACGCATTAATTAAGACACTTGTGAAATGATCTCATAGTAAATAGTAAATTAATTTTCGTCGAATTTTTCTGTCAAGGTAATATTTTTAATGTCAAAGTGACGAGAAGTAACGTTACCTTGGAAGTTTTTAGAATTTATTTGTTTCGACATAAGAAATTCGCAATAAATTTTCAGTTTCTAATTAATAATGGTGATGTAGAATCGTGTCAGGAGCGAAGTCGATACCGCTTTGCAAAAGAATGGGGAGAAATTTACTACGAAATTATTGCAAGAATTACCATATTTAGAGAGATGCATAAAGGAATCATTACGCTTATATCCCAGTGTGTATATGATGTCACGAAACACTGGGGAAGATGTAGAATTATGTATGTATATAACCAATTTTTTACTGTATACATTTTTTTATGCTTTACACAATATCGTCAACTGTGTGAACTAAATATATATAAAATACAGAAATTTCTATTGTAAAGGTTCTAGAATATCTAAATTTTTATTACTAAATCTATTTATATAATATTTCGAAAACGTTTTACATAAAATTAAATACATACAATACAACACACAAATTTTTTAAAATTAATATTAAGCAAATAATGCTTAAGAATGTTTATTATTTATTAGTTAATTAATTACATTATTTTGTATTGTGTAGTAATATCATCTATTTTCATATTATGTTATAGGTTTATTCTTTAACTTTGTGAATCTTATTGTGTAATATGGTTTTCAGCCTCATATTTAGTACCTGCTGGAACATACGTGCATCTTGACATTTTCGGAGTCCACAGAGATCCTAATTTTTGGCCAAACCCAGAAGTATTCGATCCCGATAGATTTTTGCCCGAGAAAATCCGAAATCGTCATCCTTATTCATACATACCATTCAGTGCGGGACCACGTAACTGTATCGGTAAACCATATTTTTTTATATTCTGTCATATAATAACACGTTATATGAAGAGATTACGACACATACAAAATTACAGGCCAACGATTTGCTATGCTGGAAATGAAGGCTATGATAGCACCTCTAATACATAATTTCTACGTCGAGCCTATTGATTATTTAAAAAATATTCAAATGCAAATTGATTTGGTTCTTCGACCTGTTCCTCCATTTCGTGTAAGATTTGTTCCTGTCCGTGAAACGAATGCAAGACTTTGGAGCAAATAACAGTTTATGAACATAGGTGAAAGTAAAGGTAAGACTCTATTTGCCTACAAAACTATTTTGTAGGTAACGCTAACAGTGTAATAGTAACATTTGTTATCAGCGGTCACAAAAATTGAAATATAAATAAAACGTAATAAATACAAGATATATATTATAAATAAATAATTATTTTATTAATATAATTATTAATTATGTACGTGGTGTCTCTAAACTGGCAAGAAATATTTTAATGACTTATTCTATGTATCATTTTAAGACAAAACTTGTAATACGTGGTGTCTCTAAACTGGTAATAAATATTTTAATAACTTATTCTATGTATCAGTTTAAGACGAAACTTGTAATACGAAAATACCTTGCTACAGGTTTTCTGGTAAGATTAAATAAGAAAATATGTTCACAGACGCGCACGCACACGCACACGCACACATCCGTAACCTTTTTTTCTCAAAGAAGTCTATACGAAAGGACTGAATTGTAGATCTCTTAGCTTCTTTAACATTGTTCAAATTTATCTGTAATAATTGTTAAACGCGTTCAATCTTCTAAGTTTTTTAACGTAAAATAAATCTTAGTACTAATTAATTTAAGAATATTGAAGAAATATAACAAATTCTTCCCTTATATTAACTAATCAAATTTGTGACTCGGATTTAAGAATTACATGGTTGTCGTCGTTAACTTATTGTCGAAATCATTGCTTCCAAGAACCGTCGAGAAGACCCGCGATTAACTTCCGGCCTGCAACGGAAATCCTGGTCGATTCAACGAGGCATTGAACTAGGCGTTGCGGATAAGTCTTATGTAAACTCGACGAGAAATAACTCTCCATGATAAAGATCGTTACGACTTTCCATCGGTACAAACCATGCATTCACGAGCGCCCATTCTAATATGTTAATGCTTTCCTATATTTTGCCAAATATCAATCACGACAGTTGACCTCTCATGTACAGATATATCGAGCTAGGTGTATAAAGATATGTGAGAAAAAGACTAAGTCATTATACACGGTGAGGCAAAAGTATGGAAATATGGTAAGTATGGAAACCCGTAAATTTTTCAAAACACTATAATAAAGTATATTTTCATTGAGTACTTTCTGAGTAGTGAAGCTCACCCTGTATGTATATGTATAATGACTTATTCTTTTGTACACATATCTTTATATAGCTCAATATATCTGTGCATGAGAGATCAACTGTCGTCATTAATATTTGACAAAATATAGGACAGCATTAACATATTAGAATGGACTGCTGATCGTAGTGGTGGGGGAATCGCACGAATAAATCATGACTTGAGTGCACGTTTCATCTCTTTTCAGTAATCCTGATCGGTTGCTGTACAGCAGGAGACAGAATGTACCCTCATTATTATCCACCTCTCACTCTTTTCATGCGGGTACACCCATCACTGCCATCGGCAGTCTACTCTATATGTCAATGCAGGAAAATCTTACATTTACAAAATTTAAAAAAAATTTTCATAATATTCTAAATTTTGTTTCAAAATACTTTTCTTAGTTGACATAAAAAGAGCATAGAAAATGTTCTTGAACATGTATTTCCATCAATCATTAATGATTCTATAACTAACGTGAACAAGTGATGTGAAAGATTTGAAAGTATTGGTGAAAGGTATAAAAAAAACTTGCGTTAAGGAACTGGATTTTATGATAAATTATGTATAGAGATTTTTCACACACAAACTGCTTCTTTGCCAGACGTTATTACTGATGTTATAAGTACTATAAGACAAATGACGGTTATCGGTACCTCTAGTTGTTATTGCAATTAGATTAGATAGTATTATCATATCAGCGTTAGAAAGAGTAAATAAATTAGTTCTTTATTCAAAATAAGAAGGTGCAAATATTTATCCGCGTCTGAAGTAACTTTGAAAAGGAAAAACCGTGTAGGAAATAAAAGTATGTACAAACACACCTATCGGATTATAACATAACGAAAAATGATATAAACAGCGAAGCAGCAAGCGACAAATAAGAACTCAAAAACGAAATAAAATTAAAATCGGTTTTCAAGAACCAGAGCGTCTCAATACGATCAATAAATTCGAGCAGAAACACTCCTGGAGTTTAATTCAGAACGCAACGGGCGAATCCCTAATTCTTTTCCTCGACAAAATACAGCGATTTCGGGATCGTCCCTCTGATCCTCACGTCATCGATCCAAATTTTCTCCGCCAAGGATTATCCTGGTTTTCCTGAACTCAATGTAATCACGGAACAATGTTGTAAAAAAAATGTTTAAATAATTTTCTAGCGAATACTTTTCGCCACATAATCATTAGCATATTGTTACGTCCGGCTCCGCCGTCCGCACAACACCTCGCGCACTCGCACACTCGCGCACTCGTGTGCTCGCGTACTCGCGTGCGCGCTCGCGTAATTGAAATAGAGCCGTGTGAGGAACGAAAAAGGAGATCTTTATTACACAGAAAGAACGGCCCTCGAACGTCTGCACAAGGCAGGGGCCAAACTCTCTCTCTTTTTACAAG